CCCCCCCCCGCTCCGCAATAGCCTGACCCGCTTGCCCGCAGTGAACCCCATCCCCCCATTATCTATCTACCTCCTCCCCAAAAAGAGAAGGAATGCAAGTTTTTTTTTTTTTTAGCGTTTTTTAAAAAGGGTTTGGGGGTGTGGGTTCGAGGTGAAGTAGAGACACTCACTCTAGCAGGAATCCACGTAGAAGCTCAAGTCGGAGCACTTAGCAGGAACTCACGATCGACGCGCGAACCACCGACCCACGCAGCACCCATTCACGAAAGCAACAACTCACAAAGTACGACGCACCAAAGCACTAAGCACGGAGCGCAACCACCGACCCACGCAGCACCGATCCACGACAGCACCAACTCACAAAGTAGGAAGCAGCAAAGCACTAAGCACGGAGCGCGGAGCACCAAGTCGCATGGACCAACGATTCACGAACCCCGAAGGAAGCGCGCAGCACCATGCACCGACTTCACCACGAGCCCACGCATGGCCCAAGCACCGGCCTTTTTTATTGAGCACCGAATTCACGATGCTCCAAGCACCGAATCCACAAAGTAGCAAGGACGAAGCACGAAGCATGAAGCAGTCTGAAGAGAGGTCGCAATTCACGATGCTCTCGTGCAATTCGTAAAGCACCGAGCACCAAATTGCGAATTGCATCCAGCGGCCTAGCTCAGTCGGTAAGGTTCGCAAGTGGCATTCAGGAGGTCATGGGTTCAACCCCCATTGGCCTCATGACCTTTCTGGGCTTACTTGGCACCCGCTACCCAAAAGATAGACCACTGGATCCCCCGGTCGGCATCAAGCAGAGTCTGCTATGTTCGTAGGGGAGGGGCCTGAGGGGAGGCACGGGGGATTGGTTCGCTTTATCCCTGGTGCTACCTGCCGTCCCCTGGCCGGTATCCTGCAGGCTCGAGGGGGCATACGGGTTTCCCCGTATGCCTATAAGTAGGAGTAGTGGTAGGTAGGTAGTGTGAGGAAAAATTGAGAGAAGAGTATAGTCTTTTAATAAATAAATAAATAAATAAAATTGCGAATTGCATGGTGAATTTGGTGTCCTACGTGCTTGGTGCTTCCGTGAAGCATGGTGGACTCGGTGCTTCATGCTTTCTTTTGTTTTCTTTTTTTTTTCCCAGCGGGTAAGTGGGAATCTGGCTGCCAGCATTGACTGCGCCGGTGAGACTGGGGGCCAAGTCCCACTTACCCGAATGATCTATTTCTGACCGCAGATTCGGAAGATCAATGACCCGAAATCAAGGATCAGCGTAAGTGGGACTTGGCCCTGGGGGGTTAATCACCTCGGACCATCACCTCATCATCTCAGAGCATGACTCAGACCGAAAAGAAGTAACAAGCACTTAGTCTCCGACTCTACGGCGAGGCAGGCCCAGCGGGACAAGCCCGGGGCAAGGTCCCACGTGCACGGATTAAGAGATTCTGGCCGTTGATCTTTGCTATCTACGGTCAATATCGCTTAATTCGTGTAAGTGGGACCTAGCGCCTGGACTGGCCCAGCTTGCCCAAGGCTTAGGCGGATCTCGGACAAGCCCACGTCCGAAGCAATCAGCTCGGCAGTTCTCCGGGCAGTTCTCCGCTTACCCTCTCCACCCGGGCAAGGTCCCACTTGCACGAATTAAGAGATACTGACGGTAGATAGCAAAGATCAACGGCCGAAATCTCCTAATTTGCGCAAGTGGGACCTTGCCCCCGAACAGAGCGCAGGTCTTTATGTTTGTATCTAGACTGATACCACGCAGGGCATAGGGGCGCAGCCAGGACGACACCGATCGGCAATCGCACTGACACTTTGAGCAGCTGAAAAGACAGATGGCCAGCAAGCTGGAAGAAAACAGAATCTCAATTGAGCAGCTCAAAAAGCAACTCATCGAGAAGCAGGAAGAGAGTTCAACCTTAAACCAACTGTACCAGAACCTCCAGTCAGAAATGTATGGTATTCAGCAAACGATCAGCGACAAGTCTCGGCCAGCCTACGACGAACTGTCAGCCTGGAGGTCCACCTTTGCGTCACCATGCTACTTCGCGCAAATCGAGGCTTACATTCGTTTCTTGGAGATCAACATGAACTATTCTTACTATCCCATTGGAAAGGTTTTCGCCGCAGACTTCACCGCAAGAGTTGCATCGGTGGCCAAAGACTGTACGGAACCTCTTATAACCAAGCAAGTCAAGCAACTTCTCGACAAGGCTCTGAGGCAAGCCATGGACAAGGTCGTACCTATCATCAAGTCCGAATACAATTACTGCATGAGCCTCGTCAGAAGAGAAGCCCACAGGTAAGCAAAGGGTTGTCGCCCGACTAAATTTTTTTTTTATCATCCCGGACCGTAAATAGGTCCACGCCGTCAGCGTTATGGGGTTTATCTTTTATCCTGCGTATCCTTGCAGATTGGGCATTCCCGAGTGGGAACACTCCTCATACCGCAAGAAGGACGACAGTTCGAAGACGGACGAGAGCAGAAGATCATCAAAGAGGCACTATGAAGACACCAAGGACAGAGGTTACGACTACCACAGAATGGCCAAGAAGATTCACGCCGACCACTCCCACACCTCATCATCTGACCCTGCAAGACCCGCACAGTAGCACCACGCCATTTACTATACCCACCATACCCTCCATCCTATCCAACTTACAAAATCCCCCCTCCGCTTCAGATCTCCGCCTCGCAGCTTTCGCTTTCTAAAAGCACTCAGCATGACTCAGAAATCCCGATACCTTCACCGCCGCCACCCCTCAAAAGCATTTCTCTAACTGGTTGCTCATACTCTCCTCCTCTTCTAGAAGGTACTCCCACTCAGTCCTTCAATGGATACGTCATGGCATCACTCTTCAATTTAAAGGCACTTCGCACATTCCCACCACTAAGATTATCGAGGTAAGAAGAATGGTAAAGAGCGTACTCTCGGCCTCCCTCTTCAAACAAGCCCTCAAGCTTCAATCCCCTCCTCCACTCGTAATCCCAAATCATACTAACCCTCCCCATCATATCAACTTAATCTCTTCAACTGTTTCACAACTTCTTTCTACCGGAGTCATAGAACACTCTCCCAGCCTCATCGTCATTAACTCAATCTTCGCAACAGAGAGCTCCTCCAAAACCCGTTTTATCTGAGATATTCGTTTTGTCAATCTTTTTGTCACCCTCCCCGCCTTCCACTACGAATTGATAGACGATGTCACCGCTCATCTTTCCGGTTCCCCTTCTCAAGACTTCCTAACCTCTTTCGATATTAAAAACGACTACTACCATATCCCAATCCACCCCAAGTCAAGACCTTACCTTGCCATTAACTGGAACGGTTCCGACTTCCAGTTTACAACTCTCTGTTTTGGCCTATCTTCCGCATGTTGGATCTTTACAACAGTTATGCAAGAAATCATGGCTGAGCTACGCACCCAAAACGTTTTTGCTACCTCCTATATTGATGACTCCGCACTAGCAAACAAGAATTTACCCTTGCTTCTTTGGCAAACCTTCAACTACGCTGCGCTACTCCACAACCTAGGTTTTTTTCTTAGCTTCCACAAATGATCTTTTATGCCTTCCCAGTCCATCCGCCTCCTTGGATTCACCCTAGACTCTCATTCAAAGCGCATCAAGATACCAGAAGATAAAATCACCAAAATAATCGCCCTCATCCAAACTTCATCAACCCCTTCCAGCAGATCAATCGCAAAGATAGCCGGTAAGCTCGCTTCTCTTTCTAAAGTTTTTTTACCCACCCACCTTCACCTCTCTTCACTATACAAGGCGATCTCACCTGCCAACTGGGATTCTCCGATACTCATTACAAATAACCTCGTTGAGGACCTCATTTGGTGGATCTCCCACTTACCCCACCTTCCCGGCAGACTCTGGACCCTTCGACCGGCTTCCCTATCGATCTTCATTGATGCCTCCTTCACCCAGATCGCCGCTTTAATCTACCCACTGAAGGGTTCTCCCATAACTTTAAATCAGTGCCTTCCTCCGAACCTTCTAAACTCTTCTTCTATGCACAGGGAACTCTTCGCTATTTTCGAAGCCTTCAGATTCCTCGCCTCAACCCACCCCCACTCTCCTTCATCAAACCCTCACTAGAACAATCGCATGCCCTGCATCTTACCTCCTCATACTCCCTTCCTCACAGCGCACCTCCTGGTACCCCCGCATCCTCTCCCTCAACATCAATCACCGCTTCATCATCCCCGAATCCAAATTCTCCTGCCTTTCCAGTCTCAGGGTGAATTTTGCCACCCCTAACCCCGCAATCCTCGGCCTCACAACCATCTTTTTTTCGACCTGACTTTTCCACCCTCCGCCTTTTCCAACCTCGCCTTATCCCATAGCCGTACCGCATAAAGGTCCCAACGCTGCTCCACGTCCCCTGGCGCATCGTTTCACCCAGGCTCCAACCCTCCTCTATACCAGCCTGAACCCCGCCTATGCGAAAGTTGTGTCCACTCTCCCCCTCGTACACCCCCGCCTCCTCGAACCATTTTTTTATACGCTTACTAAAAGCACCACCACTCATCGCACCATCCCCCCGCATTGGCCGAAACAGGAAACCTTGTCTTATATCCTGACCTAGTACCCGCTCATAACTACTTACCATTTCTGGAAGCCATCCCAAAAACGTTTCCTCCCCACCCGCAGCCTCACACAATCTTATCATAAATCTACCACCATGCCGACCAGTTTTCGTATAACCAGGACGCATAACATTTTTCTCAAAATTTATCTCCTTGTATTGCAAACGCAACCCCTCCCCGCACCGCTGTCAATTCTCCCACAGATACAAAAACACACCACCATCGCGATATGCCTGAGCCTCGTGATAACCTTTCAACACCTTCACTTTCTCCCTGATAAATTTCAGCACCCCGTCTAGCTTCACCCACTTCAATGGCACCGCTGATTCCTTGATCAACCCCCTCTGCAACGAGTACTCTTGATACGCTTTTCGGAAGGATCGTACCCGACTACTCTGGCATGGATCTCTTTCCCCATCTCTTCCTAGGAGGCGAAAGCAGACACTCAAGCAATTCAGAGCAGCATCTACCGTCGACGGAGACACAAGTGGCAAGCCCGCGGCATCCGAAGTCCGGCACCGACCCTCCACCTCAACGAGCCCATCTCCCTTCTCAACGTCTCATACAAGATTTTGGTCAAGGTTATAGTTCGAAGACTAGGAAGACACCTGCCGGAACAGGTGGAGGACGACCAAGTTTTATTCGTGAGGGGCCGCTCGATCTACGATAACATGGTGACTGCAATTTAAACGTTGGAGGTCGTGAGCAAGGAGGAACTAGATGTAGTGGTTTTATTCTTAGATATGGAGAAAGCGTACGACCGGGTGAATTGGTCCTATATGCTGACATCTCTTAGGTGGATGGGATTTGGGGAAATGTTCTGTAGTTGGGTTGTTGCCCTATACTCGTTGTCTTCGGCGTCAATGATGGTCACCGGACATGTTTCGGCGCCATTTCAACTGTCTCGTTCGCTGCGCCAAGGATGTGCCTTGACCCCACTATTATTTGTTGTGCACTTAGAGATCTCACTGAACAATATAAGGAGTCATGCACAGATAGTGAGTATCGATTTGGGCCACCGTGCCTGCAAGGTCAAAGCACTAGCGGATGACCTTTTCGCTGTGTCCGTTAACTCGAAGGAGTCAATGTCGACCCTTCGCTACTGTCTCCGACAGTACAAAGAGTTGTCAAAGGCAGCTATAAACTGGTCGGAATCAGTATATCTCCTGCCAACACAATACGTACCAGTTGTTAATTGGGGTATGAAGAGAATCCGTCGAGACGAGTCGGGACATTTCTTAGGCGTCCTGGTCGCACTTACATCGTGTGTGCTCAAGCAGGAGGAGATCCTGCAATCGAAGGTCTTACAAAGAATGCCGGTCTGGGGGAAAACCCCACACCTCTCCTTATTTGGGAGGGCACGCGTAGTAAATGGGGCTCTGTTCGTTTTTCTCTCATTTGTTGGAATGTGAGACCAATAGGGAATAAGACACAAGCAGTTGTCTGTAGGAAGACAACAAGGTTCATCTGGCGCCCGTACACAGAGGAAGGGGAATCGGTGATGTCGAAGGTTGCATGAGACTTAATCTGTGTTCCCAGACAAGAGGGGGGACTGAGTATGGTTGACCCAGGCTGAAGGAACACAACCATTACGGAAGAAAGGGACATACACTGGATTTCGTTGGCAGAAAGGATCCTCAGTAGGGAGTGACAATTGACTCGCCCGACAGATGTCTGGGCCTGTGTGCGGATCGGATAATTCCTCATAAAGCATTTGGGGTCATAACTATGGGGTGTTGTTCTGAACGCCTCGAAGAAGGTCATGCCGGATATGTTGTGCGAACCGCACACAAAACAGGAGGTGCTTGCTCAAATCATTTTTTTAAATCCCCGCATCAGAGATTCAAGAAGGGAAATGTTGATGGCTAATGGGAAGCCAGACAGTTTTGGAAGAATGTGGACAGAAAATGGGGTAGTAAGGGTGAGGGATCTCTGGGATGGTTTCACTGGAGGCTGGGTCTCTGAGGAAGAGTTGGAGAGAAAACTCATACCGAGAAGATATATCAGGCAAAGAAGGTTACAAGTTTTGGAATCCCTCCCAGAAGAGTGGTTGCAGATTCTGTCCTCGTCGCAGCCAAACTCGACAAGAACTTGGTACGAGTGGGTTGCAGATGTGGAAGACCCAGACCCACCACCCCCTACATTCCTTAAGGTGGTGGAACAACGAGTGAAAGGGAATAGGAAACTGCAAAATTGGAGGATGGTGGGGCCGGAGGGGGAACTAGCGATGCTAGAGGGAGAGGAAGAATATATTACTGTCCTGAGAGGTAGTTTGACAAAGGTGAGGGTAAGAGAGAGATGCAGCAAGGGAGAAGACTGGGACACGAAGATTTGGAAGGGGGGTAAGCCCATTGAGGAACTCAAGGCTGACCCGAACCAATGGGCGTGGAGAAGCAGAGGTCCGCGTGGAGAGCACGCAAAACTGGACGAGTTCTCGGTAAACTGGCCTATGACGTCCAAAACCCAGTGAGAACACCATTGATGGTAGCCACAAAAAGGTGGGGTCGTGTCCTACCGGATGACACTGAAAAGATTGCCCGGGCACTTTAGAGTTGTTGGGAACAGCTCGCAGAGGCTCCGAATCCAAGAGCAACAAGTCTTTTGTGGCTCGCTTCTCTGCTAGCTACTCCATCGACTGTGTGGTTAATGAGCAAGGGGATGGAAGTGAAAATGCAATGTAAGAGATGCCTCTGGTCATTTGAGTCAACCCCCCACACTTGGTGGGACCGTCTGGCATCAAGAAGGATTTGGGACTGGTGGGCGGATCAATGGGATGGGTGGACCGGGGGAATCTTGAAACAGGATAGGGAATGGGTCCTACTGCGGGGGCTACCGAAACATTTCCCCCACAGAAAGGGCTGGGGGTATGTATGTGACACGCCAGCTTCCGGACCTGTGCCATCTTCGCTTCCCCCCCAAATCCTCTTTGTCGAATTTTGGGTGACAGCCTGACGAGGCCTTTTTTTGTATTTTTATGAATGTAATATGCGGGACCCTCGGATCAGTTTTTGAAAATTTGTCTTTTGCAAATTCCGGAATTACATGGGAATAATGCGCGCCTTAGCAAGCGCGCTAGAAATTTGGGTCGACGGTTAGGAATTC